GCCAACAGCTACATGAACCGCTGCTTGGGCGATCAAACCGCGAAATTTGGGAGCTCGGTCTTCGAAGAAATCTTCGTGAACATCAGGGCTCGGCCTAGAATGGCAGCCCTTCAAGGCACTACGCCGACAGTAGGGGGCTAAATCGAAAGCTGCCCTGTGTGCCGCCCTTCTCGTCAAACAACAAAATTTGGATCAGCAATGACTAGCACCGCGAAGAAAACGGGAGAGAATCACGTTCTACACCGACAACAGAGAAGAACAGAAGCCACGGCGCATCCACAGAAAAATCTCCAAAAGCTTTGGGCACCTGGCCGAGCGATGCAAGTTCCACTCCGCCCCTCGCCAGTCCAATCCGAGCACTTGGACCGGCCGACAAGACGCAAGAAATTACACGCATCAAGCTCAGTGGTATCAACTCCCAACGCGCAATCTGAATTCAGCGTTTCAGCAGCAGCAACAGCAGTAGACGTCACAACACGAACCCGCTCGGAACGTCATGGGGAACATGACAATGACTACACAGGGAATCCACCGTCGGTGCGTGCGCACGCCATCTCCTGAGCCTGCACCCCATCCAATCGGGGCGTTCACGGACAACAAACTGTTTGCCCCCTGACACGACTTCAGCGACATAACGATCAGTACTGGAATATTTCAATCTCACTGCTTGAAAGCCCCTCTGCACGTACCTAAGTCGCGGGCGGCTCCGATCGATTGGATCTTGTGCAAACAATTCCTGAAATTTGACACACCACACATCGTCACGCCGCGATTGCTGCTGCTCGCACACAACGACAACATGCGCTATAACACGTGGTACCTGGATAGCTGCTGTGGGCAGCACATGGTGGGATCAAAAGGTTTCATATCCAACGCCGTATCCACCCCCATAATCACTTACGTCCCTGTGGCGAACAACAGACGCCTGCGCGCAAGGCATCGTCGTGCTCAAGGCGCGAGGAAGCAGGACACACATCATGTTGAAAGATATGCTGATCGTGCAGAATCTTCACTTCAGTCCCTTCCTAGCGGCAGAACTCATGGATTTCGAATTGATCTCAGCACCGACCACGAGACACGTAACATCCCCGCTCCATTATACCGCACCGAACAGGCCACGAAAGCGGATCGGACGGGCTCACTCAAAGAGTAAAGTATATTTTCTCGACTTCGATATTCCCGACTACAGCAGCGGCACGGACGATCTAATCGATCTCGTTCCACTGCGCTTCGAGCAAATCCATTGCTCCGAGTAGAAGTACCCAGAGGGAAGACCTTGGGTGCCACATCACCCACATCCTCGCGAAGTCGTGCTTCACAATCCCGTGCCGAACGCCACACGCCTACCGCATCAACAAACGTGATTGCTGGCAGCGGCCTTGCTGCCATTGCTGAATCCGAAAGAACTGCGCCACCAAAAGAAGTGATGTCAGCGCTCGAGATGGAAATCATGACGCAGCGCATCTTCGGTGCTAAACAAGATCCCCTCCTGTGCTCACCCTCACAACGGCTCCAGGGAAGATTGTGAGGACAACGCCGCGGAACCTTCGATGCACGCGAAGTGGCGCACCCCTATACAAAAGAAGAGTTCTTTTAAGGTCTACCCTCACTGGCGTGACCCCCCAGAGAAGCTTACTGTCATACAAGAAGAGGAGCCAGCGTGGCGCAAAGCTGAAGAACACTGCCCGAAGGGAGTCGCCAAAGCGCGCGGCACTTTCACATGCAGCGCTTGGGGCACCGAAGAAGAAAGCACCTTTAATGAAGGGGGGTGGGGAAGCGTTGGTGGTTGGCAGATGGGGCGCTGCAATTGGCGGCGATGCAGATGGCTGGGGCACCTCCGGTAAAGGCTGGAGCACCTAGCGAGAAGAACAAAGGGAGGGGAGAGGAGGGGGGTGGGGGGGGGGGGGTCGGCACGGAAAAGGACGAACTTTTTGTTGTTCCCCTCGGTCGCCTTCCATGCCTTCCTGCACCTGCACTGCCTCCACCCGACCTACAGCCACATCGCGAACCTTGGGACACGACCAACTGCTCATCCGTTCTTCAAACACCCCTCGACAAAACAACACCATTACGGAGTAAGAGGTAAATATTGGAGGTGAAAAATCCCATTAGACCAATTCAACTTCTCTCTGGCTGACGTAACTCAGAACAACACTCTTTAACCTACTCTTTCTTAGCACAGTCTTGTTCACCGCCATGGTGCGTCCCACTTCGCAGTTTTGGAAGCATGTCAAGAAGATGATGACGAAAGCAACGTAGTTGGTGCTACCTGCATTCATTGCAAACTTCCTGTGACGGCTAATGCGACTAGGATAGGCGAGCACATATTTGGCACTAACAAGAAGGATAAAAACGTCGCAATGTGCAAGTCGGAGTACGCTAAGCAGCGGCGGGCAACAACCAATCAGGAGCGCTCGTCCGCGAGAAATGCTACAGGAGGATCAAACCGTGCCTCCACGTCCACGGTGGAAGCGCCGCCCGTGCGTCGCTCTCGGTAGCGAGATATTCGTGACATGACGGATCAAAGTTGCGCAGAATCGCTGGATTACCTGTGGGCTGCTGCAGTTGCCGAGAAGGATATCGCCTTCAACGTCAGCGAGTCGAAGTTGATCCAGGCCTTTGTTGACGCGGTGATCATGTACGCAAAACCGTGCACCCTCCCCACCCCGTACAAGGTATCCGGCCCGTTGCTAGGCAAGCTGAATGCGGACACTAAGGACCTTATGTGGCCGCTGAAGGAGAGCTGGAAGACCAGCGGGTGCACACTCTCCGTCGATGGATGGACATGCATCAAATCCTGCGGTTCGGTGTGTGTCATCATGCAAGATGACATTGCGCCCATCATCGTCGACATCGTCGACTCGAAGACCGCAGGGTGGGTCTTATTCAGGTAGCAATCACCATGGTGGGGCCGAAGCATGTTGTCTAATTCGTGATGGATAACACTTTGAACAACAAAAACGCTGCCAACTACTCGCAGATTATCCACATATCTTCTTCACCAACTGCGCCGTCCACTGCCTAGATCTCATGTTGCACGACATTTGCAACATCCTTGCTGTTAGATGCGTCCTTGCCCAAGTGCACAGCGTAGTGATGATGATCAAAGGCTCTGCCTCAACCGTCATCTTGTTCCGTGAGCCTTTTACCAAGCTCTCGCTGGTGTGGCCTGGTGCAACGAGATTCGGCACCCAGGTCGTTATGCTTGGTAGGAACCTGGAGGTGAAGCGCGCGTTGAGGGTGATGGTAATCAGCAAGGAATGGGAGGATGTGGTGGTGGCACAGACGGAGGAGGGGATGGAGGTTAGGAAGCTGCTTTTGGATGATGCTTTTTGGGGCTGTGGGCCGTGCATTGCCTCATGACTCCTGTCTATGACGTTCTTCACGCTGTTGACACATGGGCTCAAGTCATGGGGTTGTTGTACGACCTCATGCTTGAAGCCACGATGAAGACTACTGAAGCAGCTGAGACGGCTGGTGAGTGGCTCGGCTCAAAGCATTATGCTTTGGTATTGAATGTCAATCTCTCCATCCATCCGATCATTATTCCTATCTAATAAGTGCCCGTTATTCACTGTGAGCAGCCACGCACTTCATCAAGCAGAAGGGTCTGCTATTGCCGAAGGATCAGCACCTTTCTCACCACCATCAAGGCGATCATAGCCAGGAGGTGGAACGCACAAATGCACAACCCACCACCAACCGCAGTCTTCGTGATGTGTCGTTTGCAGGCGGCGACCGTGTCCTTTTAGACAGCCGCAACCTCCGACTGCCACAGGACAGCAAGCTTCGCCCACGTTTCATTGGTCCATTCGTCATTGAGCGCGCACTAGGTCCAGTCGCCTACTGCCTCCTCCTTCCCGCTCATTTTCGTATGCACCTATCATTCCAAATGTCTCTCCTTTGACCTTACAGCAATCCCAACTCCACATTCTCGGGCCGTGATCGCACTCCACTGCCAGTAGCTATTGACACTGACGAGCCCGACTACCAGATCCAGCACATCCTTATGCACCGTCACCGTCTCCAATGAAAGTCGGGTTCCTTCGTCTTCACTGTTTCCTGACAATTCTTGCCTCAAAGCGTACCTTCAATCTGCAGGCACCGCGGACATCGCCTCATTGGGAAGGGGGTAGTGTTAGAGGGGTGTTTACTGTTCATTCCGAACAGTGCTTCCCAACCCCAAAATTTTCCTTATCTCCTTAGATTTCCTAGTGCCACGTGGCACTCTACTTTCTTTGCTATCTAATTCCTAGCCTCACAACCCACTTTCAAACCTCATCTCTTGCATGCTACAGAAACCCTGCTTGTGTCCACCAATATCAACCAATTCTCGTTCAATTTCAAAGTTACTTCTTCGCCTATTTTGCCAGCACTTCTTTCACCGAAGTCTTCCGCCGTGTTTCATCCTCGACTTAGTCGACCCCGCTAATTCTTTAGCGGACTTAGGCCAGCGGGCCTAGCATCCTCCCTTTCCAAAAACACAAAGCCCACCCGTCCTCTTCACTCCTACCACCACAAAGGTTGCATTTTCCCTTGTCCAACTATTTGACTCACCTTCAATCAGCCTCAGCTCCTAGCTTCGCTTCTCGTTCTGCTTGTGCGCGTATCCTCTCGCTCCTAGTGCAATGGCATCTTTTCGGGTCACCCCATCTCTTGTTGAATCCGCGAGCGGTTCTGCCGTGTGCGGCATCAGCAGCAGCTTCAGCCGCCGCGCTAACGTCTTAAGATGTGGCGGCACGCTTGCATGACGCAGGGGGTGCTTCAGCGAGAAAGAGAAGTGCGCTGTGAGCTCCCCCCGTGCGTCTCTCGGCTTCTCCCCTCTGTGACCAAGCCCGTGGATAAGCCGCCTAGCAAGAAGCTCATGCCCAGGGATGTGATGGGTATCGCAGCTGCTGTGAAGTTCACAGCGGTGCACAGCGGTCAACCGACCGTCGCAGCTGCAGCAGCCAAAGCCACGGTAGCTAAGGCGACACCAGCCAACGCGACTCCAGGAGAGCTTAGGCAATGGCAGGTAAGGCCACATCAGCTAAAGCAATGCCTGTGGGCTTCCAGGATGCCATCTCTGCGTCCATGGCTGTCTGCCACTGAGAGGAGTACTCACCCGCGATCGCCTCAGCGTAAGAGTGCGGGGTCGGGATGTCTGGTGCATCCGGGTCTCCCTCAAAGGCAAGCAGCATGGCCACGAGATGAGGCGCAGCGGCTGCAAGACACTCAAGGTCCTCATGCCTGTCCTCAAGGACGTCCGTGCCAAGACCACACTCACCCCCGACGGACGGAGGACAGACAGACTTAGACTCAGCAACAAGACTAGCGGCGTAGTCTAGACGACAGGCAGTAGCAAAGTCAACAAGCTCAGCGACCAAGGCAGACGCAGCAGCAGACTCAAACGACGGGTCAATGACAACAGTGGCTAACAGACGCATGACAGTAGGGTGTGCAGCACGAAACCGGTCAGACTCAGGGTCTGGAACGTCAGGTAGAGAGGACGCAGGGGGAGACGGCAGGGGAACACGCTGCGGAGCAGAGGAAGGATGAAGGGCGACGAGGTGCACGCCGGGGACAACCGACGGATGCTGACGAGGAACACGACGACCGGTACGACCAGGACGAACAGGCGAGACAGGATGCGACGCAGGCTCACGACGCTCAGAAAGAACCCCTGTCTGCTCAGTGTAAGGAGAAGGAGCAGGCAGTGGTGAGCCAGGCAGTAACGGAAGACCAGTAGAAGACGGGAGGCTAAGAACCTGGCGAAGGACAGAGTCAGGCGGTGGTTGAGACAACGGAGACGGCGGAGCAAAGAACAGTCGTGTCGGTGCAGTGCCACCAGTACCCGCAGCTCCAGCACCTCAAGCAGCTCCAGCACCCCCAGCGCCAGTACCTCCAGGACCAGCGCCACCAGCAGCAGCACCCCCAGAACCGGCACCTCCAGTCCCAGGGTCTCCAACCTCAGTGTCTCCAGCAGCAGCACCCCCAGAACCAGCACCTCCAGTCCCAGGGTCTCCAGCCTCAGTGTCTCCAGCAGCAGCACCCCCAGAACTAGCACCTCCAGTCCCAGGGTCTCCAGCCTTAGTGTCTCCAGCAGCAGCACCCCCAGACGCAGCACCTCCAGCCCCAGCAGCTCCAGTACCTCCAGTACGAGCACCTCCGGGACCAGCGACTCCAGCACCTCCAGTAGACAAAGTACCAGCACCACTCCTAGCTCCAGCGACGTCAGCAGAAGTACCTCCAGCAGTAGAGCCCCGAGCTCCAGCAGCGCGACCCTGACGACGACCGTACCAGTCGTGCAGCTGCTGTGAGGTGAAAGGCCTACGCGGACGAAGGCGGCCACTCCAAGGAGACCGCGCACCAGCAGTCGCAGTACCCTCAGGCGCCGCACCCCCAGACTCAGCACCCCCAGGCTCCTCACGCGCAGGCCCAGCAACCCCAAACGCAGCACCTCCAGGCTCCTCACGCTCAGGCTCAGTACCTCTAGGCTCAGCACCCTCAGGCCCCTCACGCACAGGCTCAGCACCCTCAGACTCGGCACCCCCAGGCTCAGCACCTCCAGGCTCCTCACGCTCAGGCACAGCACCCCCAGACTCCGCACCCCCAGGCTCAGCACCCCCAGGCTCCTCTCGCTCGGGCTCCGTACCCCCAGGCGCAGCACCCCCAGAGACAGCACCCCGAGCAGGACCACCCCCAGCAGGACCTGAGTCACCAGTGACCTCAACAGGCGCAGGCACAGGAGGGTCTACCTGAGAAACACCTGAAGGAGCAGGACTTGGCGCGGGGAGGGGGTCTACCTGGGAAGGACCTGGAGCGAGAAAGAGCGGCGGGGGGGGGGGGGGGGGGGGGGGCAATGCGGTAGGGAAAGAGACAGTAAAAGGGGACGGACACGTCAAAAGTGACGCCCTGAGACGCAAAGACACGGTGCAAGGTGGGGTCGTAAAACTGCCAGCCAGGCGCGTCAGGAGGAAGACGCAAGGAATGGCGCGGGGAAAGAGCTTGACCGTGGTGAGATCGCGGACAAAGGCACGAGCACCCCAGACCCGGAAATGCGACGCATCGCCAACCTCCCCCGTCCACAGCAGTGTGGGCGAGGTCTCCGGCAAGGAGACACGGGGCCAGAGGTTGAGCTGATGCGCGGCGTACCGGACCGCAAACGGCCACAGAAAATGGGGAGCCGCCGCATGGATCATGGAGGTACGAGCGACCTCCATGACTAAGCCAATGCGACGCTCAGCAACCCCATTCTGCTGCGGAGAGGCCGGAAGCGTGAATGACTGGCGGATGCCGTGCTCCGCACAGAAGGCTGTCAAGAAGTTGGAGGTGAACTCACCACCTCTGTCAGAGTGCAGACATAAGACAGGAAAGTCCCGCTCGAATCGCTCGCAGAGCTGGAGATGAACAGCGCGGATCCAAGGGATCAGAACAGCAGGAACATCCGCCTTGCGCTGCAAGGGGAAGACCGTGGTGTAACTCGTGTAGTCGTCGGCAACCAGCAAGAAGTACTGCTCGCGGCCCTGCCTCTGGACGCGGGCTGGGCCCCACACGTCGAGGTGGAGAGTCTGTAGTGGAGACTCTATGGGAGAGAACGGGGAGGAGTGAGGAGCGGTGCGCTGCCGCCCCTCGACGCAAGGAATGCAGGGCGGCGCAGGCGAGGGAGGGAGGGCAGGCAGAGACCTGGGAAGGCCAGAGACCAGGGAGCGAGAGTGCATGCCACGAAGGCGGGGCAGGGAGGGGTGACCAAGGCGGTGGTGCCACAGGAGAGTGTCATGCGACAGGCGGCGACACTCACACTGGGTAGCTACCTGAGCAGACGCGTACAGCTGAGGAGACAAAGGGGTGTAGCGTGACACAGCAGTGAGGGTGTACAGACTGGACCCAGGCGCACGTGTGAACGTGGCCAGGTGGCGGCCGGTCCGAGAGCACGTGCAGTGCATACCCGCTGTCCTCTGGGAGTAAAGGTGTCAACCCAGAGATCCTGAAGGACCGCGGTGCTCACCAAGATCGTAGAGAACAAGGGGATGTGAAGACCAGACATCTCACCGGACGGGACCGCGGGGCACGAAAGCACAGTCGTGGCTCGTGTAAGCACTTGGCCCTCAGAGGGTTCAGCCAGTGAGACAGGGACAGGTGCAGGGAGGGGTGTGACTGTGGTACTGTCGCGAAAGAAACAGCGGGAAGCACCAGAGTCAAGTGTAAAGGTGTGCAAGGCCTTAGCAGGCGCAGTACCAGAGAGAGCAGACTCACTAGCACCTAGAGCAGCAGCCGCTATACCAGGGTCAGGGGGCACACACAGGTAACAGTCACCCTCAGAAGTACCAGTCAAAGCATACATGGCAGTAAGGATAGTGTTATACACTAGAGCAAATATATCTACTCCGTCTCGAAGCAGCTCTAGCCAGAGGGGTAGCTCAGTCTCGTCGCCAAACCGTGCTCGCCAAGCGTCGCTCAGACGGGAGAAGCAGCGGGACTCTGTATGACTAACTGTCCCGCAGGTCTGACCAGCTCGATCACCTGTGCGAATGACGTACGGGCAGCGAGCAGTAGTCCTACACCCCCAACTCTGAGCGTACCACTCATGCAGCTGCCGGGGCATAAGGGTCTCGCGCGGGCGCCGTTGCAGCTGCATCTGGCCACCGCCAGAGACTCCGCACTGACCAGCTCCACCACGACTGCTACTACGGCCGCCGCCACCTCTCCGAGACGCACAACGCTGAGCGTACCACGCATGAAGCTGCTGGGGTGTAAGGGTCTCGCGCGGACGCCGCTGCAGCTGGATCTCGCCACCGCCAGAAACTCCGCACTGAACAGCTCCACCGCGACTGCAACTATGGTCGCCGCCACCACTCCCACTGCCGCCACCGCCGCCGCCACCACTCCCACCGTCGGTACCGCGAAAAGAAGTCATAGCGGGTACTAGGGTAGGCAGGGGCGGCGCACGGGCAAGAAAAGGCGACGGTCCGCCAGAGGAAGGCGGCATGCTGCGGGAGGTAGGGCGCGCGGGTAGGGTAGGTCGTGCGCAGGTAGGGTAGGGTGCACAGTGGCGCGCAGGCCGGGCGACGCGGCAGTGAGCCGCGCGCAGGTAGGGCAGGGCGCAGGCGCAGGGTAGCCGCGAGGCGTGCGCAGGCTGCTGTAACGGCGCGCGGGCGGCTGAGGCGGCGCGCAGGGCAGCGCCGGGCCGCGCGAAGGCGTCCGACGTGGCGCGCGGGGCAGCTACAGGCCACGCGGGCGACGGACACGGCGCGTCGGGCAGCTGCAGGCCCCGCGGGCGGCGGACGCGGCGCGCGAGGCAGCCGCGGGCTGCGCGAGGGCGGCAGCCGCTGCGCACGGGCCTGCTGCGGGCTGCGCGAGTTGCTGACGCGGCACGCGGGGCAGCAGCGGGCTACGCAAGGGTGGCGGACGCGACGCGCGGGGCAGCAGCGGGCTGCGCAGGCGGCGGACGCGACGCGCGGGGCAGCAGCGAGCTGCTCACAGAATCAGGGTTTGCGCGCGTGGGCAGCGTAGCGCAGGCAAGGCAAGGCGCGCGCGGGCGGCGCAGCGCAGGCAAGGCAAGGCAAGGCGCAGGCAAGGCAAGGCGCGCGCGGGCAGCGCAGCGCAGGCAAGGCAAGGCGCGCGCGGGCGGCGCAGCGCAGGCAAGGCAAGGCAAGGCGCAGGCAAGGCAAGGCGCGCGCGGGCAGCGCAGCGCAGGCAAGGCAAGGCGCGCGCGGGCAGCGCAGCGCAGGCAAGGCAAGGCGCGCGCGGGCGGCGCAGCGCAGGCAACACGTGGGGCAGCTCAGTAACCACAACGGTAGGTGGGCCCGAAATAAAAACTGTCCTACGGGCCTACTGCTCTGATACCATGTCAGAAACTACAGGCAGGAATGAATGAACTAGCAGAAGGTTGGGTACAAATATGAAACCCTAATGGGGTTGTACCCTATATTGGCTACCCCACTACAGCCTACACAAGTATAACATGCATATATGTTTGACATTTCATCACTACGTGCTTTCATGTAACTCATGGCAATTTCTCAATAAATTGATTTCAGGGCCTTTTGCCAATTTCCGCAACACGTGGTGCTTTCAGCTGCATGTTATGCTACTTTCACTTGTGCACGATGGTTTTAAAACCACGTCTCCAACTTTTATTGTCGTGAGGCTTTAACTAGCTGAGGCCAGCTTATCATCTCAGTCCGTGATGGTTTCATTGTTCATCCTAATCTCATCAGCCCATGGGGCACCACTCCAACCCACAACACCTTTTTCCCACATGACTTGGAACTTTTTGGTCAGACGGCGGCGTCCAGTGCATTGCGTGGCTCCTCCGCACGTCAGCAGCTACAGTTATGGTACTACTGGTGCTTAAGGGCGTATTCCTACGGCCTCCTATCAAGAAACCTCCTATCAAGAATGCACATTTTGCCTGGTGAAAGTAGCGAGAGATTTTGGGTTTAGGCAATTTTCCTGTGTGGGCTTGATAAGAGGTTTTCTTGATAGGAGGATAGGAATACGCCCTAAAAATAAGGTATCCTAGTTATACATATAGGATGCCTACAGCTAGATGGTCTCATTATACAATACTTAACAACACGTAGTCATATGGGTTTTGATCCAACCCAACCTGCTTTGCTAAGTGATTTCTAGAACCAGTATCAACGATAAATCAATATCCACCGTCACCCCTCTCCCCAAGTCGCCCGAATCTGATCCGCTCTTCAGCGCGCAGCACATCTGTATCTATCTCCCTGGACCAATCAGGGAGCTCCCTGTGGCCCAGGAAGTGCACCATAGCCCCGATAATGCGGGGGTCTCGGAAGTACGCCCCGTGGTTGAGGTCAAAGCGCCCGGTCAGCTCGCCAAAGCGCTCCTCGATCATCACACACAGCTGCTTCACCTGCACGGGGGAGGGAGGGAGGGGAACACACAGATGGGATCACCGAGGGAGAATGGTATATCACACACAGGCCTCCTTTGAACTCTAGATTTTAAACCGAAACATGTGAGACCTTGTGAGGCAGACAGGTGAAAAATGGAGGGCAGTGAGAGAGGAGTGACGTACAATGCTGAGGGCATGCTTAGAGCCTGGAGCGTTAATTCCCGAGGGTGGGTGAGTGTGGTAGATGCTGGTGTGGGCGAGGATGAAGCGCCCGCCTGGCACACACTTGTGCCGTGGCCTGCAGCATGCAAGTGCGCTGCAGCATGCAAGTGCGCTGCAGCATGCAAGTGCGCTGCAGCATGCAAGTGCGCTGCAGCATGCAAGTGCGCTGCAGCATGCAAGTGCGCTGCAGCATGCAAGTGCGCTGCAGCATGCAAGTGCGCTGCAGCATGCAAGTGCGCTGCAGCATGCAAGTGCGCTGCAGCATGCAAGTGCGCTGCAGCATGCAAGTGCGCTGCAGCATGCAAGTGCGCTGCAGCATGCAAGTGCGCTGCAGGCTCACCTGTCGCTGCAGGCTCACCTGTCGCACGCATTCCTGGTCGGAGAGGTGGGGGCTGTGGGTGATGGCGTGCAGCTGTGGCCGGAGCAGCTTGTACATCTCGCACTCGCGTGCTGCTGCCTCCAGCACTCTGTCGTCCCACAGGAATGAGTACACCAGCCGCTCTTCCCCGCTGCCGCTCCCCTGCCGTCCCATGCCTGCTGTGCTGCCGCTGCCGTGCCTGGACCCCGTGCCCGTCTCCTCCATTACCCACAGGTGCTCATCCTGCTGCTGCTTGCCTTTTACCGCTTCACTTGCACTTCCAACTCCCTCTGCTGCACTCACTCCACCTCCCGCTCGCTTTCCCTTGCCATCGCCCCCTTCATCACCGCCCTCCTCACCGCCCTCGGCTCTCCTCTCCCCCTGTCGCAAAGACCGCTCGGTGAACGTGACGCGGCGTCGGAAGCGGCTCAAGCTCCGCATCGAGCTGCCTGCTGCCCGACCCTCCTCCCCCTCCCCTCCCCCTGCTGCTGCTGCTGCCACTGCCTGTGTCAGGGCGGCACTAGGCGCCTCCCCTACCGCACCTGACAGCCCTGCGTGCGACCCCACGGGCTCAGCTGCATGCGTACACTCCTCTTGCTCTGGTCTTGACGCATCTGCCTGTATCGAGTCTACCACTGTACTACCTTCACTCACACCACTTGTTCTTTCGTCAGCGTCCCCTTGCCTCCTCACCTCCCCACCTCCAACCTCCTCCTCCTCCTTTCTCTCCTCCACCTTCCCCTCTCTTCCAACCAACCCCTTTGCACGTACCCCTGTCACGGGTACCTTTGTCCCGGTTATGCCCTCCCGAGGCAAGCCCTCCTCAGGCAGCCCGTCCCCAAAGAGCGCCTCCCCCATGTCACAGGTGTCGTCCTCGTAGCCCTCCATCAGCTCGCCCTGCAGCGACCTCGTCTTCGCCAGCGCCAGCAGTTTCTGCCACCGTGGCCCGCACACGTAAGGAAGAGGGGAATTGTGCATTATTTTTGGTAAGGAGAAGGGAGAAGACGATATGATAGTTGTGAGACGCTTCCAATCCTGGCTTACTGCTCCATGTGCTGCAGTGTTGCACCAGCTATATATTGCAGTGCTATTGCTGCTCATGATGCCATGTGGGAGCATGATGCCATGTGGGAGCTGGAGTGGAATGGAGTGGAGTGGAGTGGAGTGGAGTGGAGTGGAGTGGAGTGGAGTGGAGTGGAGTGGAGTGGAGTGGAGTGGAGTGAGGTGGAGTGGAGTGGAGTGGAGTAGAGTGGAGTGGAGTGGAGTGGGCTCGACTCAGCACGCACCTGCACGTTCCAGTGTTCGATGTGCTGCGAAGCCAGCCCCAGGTGCAGGTGTTCGTCCACGAAGACACTGGCGAAGCTCAGCTCCTTGGCCGACAGCCCGAAGCTCACCGTCACGATCACATTGCGCACCATCGAGATCACCACCGGCGCCAGCACGCGCGAGAGAAGTGCCACCGCCAGTGCGGGCAGGATGAAGATGACGTTCCAGATGAGAATCCGGGCAGCGTTGCTGATGTAGAGTGTCCAATCGGAGCATTTTCTCGTGACCGGGCGGCGGGGGAGGGGTTTCCAGAAGGGGAGCTTGAGCATGGAGGCCAGCTGCGGGAAGATGTAGGCTCGGGCAATAGGCTCGGTGGAGAGTGCCAGGCTGGCCTCGTCTAATTTGCCGGCGTGGATGACGAGCGCTGACATGGCATGCGACCAATCAAATCCGGGCGCGTGGTAGAGGTTGCCGCTGTAAAACGCTGTGCTGCGCCAGAGCTGGGGTGGGGATGAGAGGGGCGAGACGAGGGGAGGAGGGAGAGAGGGAGAAACGGGGAGGAAAGAGGGGAGAAGGTGCGCAAGAAAGTAGAGTGAGGAGGCAGAAAGAGTGATGTGCGATGTGCGATGTGCGATGTGCGATGTGCGATGTGCGATGTGCGATGTGCGATGTGCGATGTGTGATGTGCGATGTGCGATGTGCGATGTGTGATGTGCGATGTGCGATGTGTGATGTGCGATGTGCGATGTGTGATGTGTGATGTGCGATGTGCGATGTGTGATGTGTGATGTGTGATGTGTGATGTGTGATGTGTGATGTGTGATGTGCGATGTGCGATGTGCGATGTGTGATGTGTGATGTGTGATGTGTGATGTGTGATGTGTGATGTGTGATGTGTGATGTGTGATGTGTGATGTGTGATGTGTGATGTGTGATGTGTGATGTGTGATGTGTGATGTGTGATGTGTGGGTGTGGACAGGAGTGCAGGAGAAGAGCTGGTGTGGCGGCGGTGGCAGGGAAATGAGAGGGGAGGAGAGGCGAGGGAGGGATAGGGGATGTAGAGCAGAGGGAGGGGAGAGTGTCCAACAAGAACATGACACGTGGGGAGGAGAGTGTCCAACAAGAACATGACACGTGGGGAGGAGAGTGTCCAACAAGAACATGACACTTCGGGAGGAGAGTGTCCAACAAGAACATGACACGTGGGGAGGAGAACCACCGACTGGTTTTCTCTTAAGAGGGAAGTGGAGAGGAAGGCGCACAGGGAAGGAGAAGGGGGTTCAGGTAGAGGGAAGTGAGGACCTTCCACTCCACAAGACACAATCTCCATTCTGAAATCACTTTTGAAACACGATAGCATATGCGCGTGCGATATAGTAACTGCTTACAGTCACATGCGTATCAATCACACACCACCGCCTTGCAATATATAATCACAGAATTCTTGCGATCACGTGTCTAATGTCATACAATCCATTCAAAGCCAACACACAACTTTGCATCCATCACACAAGCACTTGCTCACCGCATACAAACACATCCATACAACTGCGCAGCACCTTACTGCATACAATCACTTTATCACATCATTGCCGTTGCATAACTCGATAGATCTATACAACACTCAACCCAACTTCACAAAACAGAAAAGAGACAGGTCAAGTGGAGCATAAAAAATCTTCTCATTCACACCCTCGTCACACCCACCTCTATAAACATACACCGTTAAAAAACAACACTCCCCCCCATAAAACCACCCTCTCCTCCATACAAAAGAGTACATTGCTCCTCACCTCGAGAGCCACACTGATGATGGCGAAGATGAGAACAGCAGCGGCGAGAGAGAAGGGCAGATAGCTGGGCGTGGTGGTCCTGATGCCATACCATGCCATGCCATGCATAGGGGACACGCAATGGTGGGAGGGGGGTAGACAAGGTTGGAAGGGAGGGAGAGAAGGGTGGGAGGGAGTGAGGGAGAGAAGGGTGGGAGGGAGGGAGGGAGAGAAGGGTGGGAGGGAGGAAAAGAAGGGTGGGAGGGAGAGAGACAGAGACAGAAGAGTGGAAGGGAGAGGAAGAAGGGTGGGAGGGAGGAAAAGAAGGGTGGGAGGGAGAGAGACAGAGACAGAAGGGTGGAAGGGAGAGGAAGAAGGGTGGGAGGCAGGAGAGAAGCATGGGAGGGATTGTTCTAACCAGAATCAACCTACTTGCTAAGCCTTTCACCTCACTGGTTCGTAATCAAACCCTGAAAATTCCAGACTCCAGGCATGGCCAGCACGCCCATTACCTGTCAATGTGGCCGGCAATGGCGAGCACAATGACCCGCCACAGCAGCACGCACGAACGTCAACCCCACAGCCACGGCAGTGGTGGTGAGGTGAGCCCAACCAACCACCACGCGCACGTGTGCCTGCCTCGTACCTTGAGAGCTGGCCCGCAATGGCGAGCACGATGACGCGCCACAGCAGCACGTAGCCCCACATCACCACGAACGTGACCCCAACAGACACGGCGGTGGTGGCGAGCAGCAGCAGCATGCCGTTGCGCTCCCAGCTCTTCATGTAGAAGGGCGTGCCCAGAAACACCAGCCCGCCCAGCGCGTTCGACAGCGGACTCGTCGCCAGGCGGTGCGCGAGGAAGAGGCGCTGCCGCTGCGCGGGCAGGCGGAGGAGCGAGTCAAGCCAGCGCTGGGAAGCCCACGGGTACTGCTCCTTCGTCCGCCCCTCCCTCCTCCCCGCCATGCTGCGCCCAGGAAAGGGGGGAGGGGTAGTGGGGTGGGGAGTGATGGGCGGAAAGGGGGAGGGAAGGGGCAAGCGGGGGTGTGGAGCAAGAACGCGACGTGGATGGTTTGTTTCCCTGCAGCAGAGCGCGGGCAGCCCCTGCAGGAGTCGAGTCGAGCGCAGCGGCGGCTTGCGCACGGGTACTGCTCCTCTCCTCCACCCGCCCCTCCCCCTTCCCCGCCCCGCCATGCTGCGCCCGGGAAGGGGGGGAGGAGGAACGGAGAAACGAGAAATTGGGCGGGAACGGGGAAAAGAGTGGGGAGAGAAGGGGGGAAAGAGGGGAGGGGGAACGAGGAAACGAGTGGGGGGAGAAGGGGACTGGCTGCTGGAGCAAGGAAGACAGGAAAGAACTTTTCCCCGCTGGTAGCAGGCTGGCAGTGCTGCGAGGGAGGCCGGTAACCGGGGCACGAGAAGGGCGTGGCGTTCTCTCTCCCCCCCCCCCACTGCACGTGCTGCTTCGTGCAACCGCCATGCTGCATGCACGCAAGGGGCGCCAGCGCTTGGGGGGACGGCGGTGTGACGACATGGGGAGGTGAGTAAATGGATGGGGGGGGTTGGGGACACCAATGGAGGAATGGGGCTATGTGGGCATATACGCTCTGGACGGCGAGCGTCCAGCGTATATACGCTAGCGTCCGTACGCTGGACGCTGGACGCTCGCTGGACGCTGGACGCTCGCCTAAAAATTTTCTGGGCAGCCCAACGAAAAAAATCGCGCGACAAATTGAGACTTGCGATTTCAGCGCTAGTGTAATTTCGACGCGGATCTGGTTCAATTTCGCCAAACAGAACCAGATCCAACAAATTGACCATGCAATTTCTCTTTCTACCACATTTCACCCCTCCCAATCTAGCAAAGCCAACCCATCGGAAGTAGATCGACTAACCCTGGCAGGCACATATCACAGCCAGAGCTAGCCGACAATTAGGTTTCACTAAACTCACCGACGACCAGATTATTTCCAACAGCTAGCGCACCTAGACTTGCGTTTACGCTGACGGAATTTCGCCTTTACGGCATCCATTTAGAGAAGTCCTTCAATCATAACATCTCATTCCAGCATACGAAACGTTTACCATCGCGATTCCATGGCGGAATCCTTACGGCGCTCCCTTTCCCCCTCTTCCCCCCTCTCCCCGCGCCTTTTTCCCCCCTGCCCGAAAAAAGGTTTTTTGCCTGCCCGACCCAAGCGTCCAGGGCTGGACATCGGAGCGTCCAGCGTATATGCGCCAGCATCTAGACGCTAGCGTATGGGACGCTGGACGCGTCCATGTCCACATAGGAATGGGGGCGTTGGGGGGTAGGAGCGTGGGCGCAGGGGGGATGGTGGAGCATGCAAGAAGGTACCTCGGAAGTTTTGGTTCAAGCCTGCACTCACGGGGCGAGAGGGGAGCAGAAGTGCAGAAGAGGGGAGGTAGCGGAAGATGGGAGGTAGCGGAAGAGGGGAGGTAGCGGAAGAGGGGAGGTAGCGGAAGAGGGGAGGTAGCGGAAGAGGGGAGGTAGCAGAAGAGGGGAGGTAGCGGAAGATGGGAGGTAGCGGAAGATGGGAAAGGTAGGAGTTTCTACAGCGGGGGAGAGGTGAGGGACGGGAGGGGCAGGGAGTGATGGGAGGGAGGGGAAGGAGGGGAGGGAGGGGAAAGAGGGGAAGGAGGGGAAGGAGGGGAAGGAGGGGAAGGAGGGAGAGCAGCGCACCTCCTTCGGACAACAAGGAAGGGGAAGAAGCGCCACAAGGTGTTGGAAACATCTGGCTTCTTCCAGTGGCGAATCAAATCGTATCTGCCCTTGTATGCTGCCCAGAATCGTTGCAGGACAGGTGGCGGGAGGTCCGACACGGCCTTGCTTCCCTGGCGCTTCATATACTGCCGTGCGGATTGTGGCAGGGAGGCAGGGGAGCAGGGGGCAGGAGGGGGCAGGGGGGCAGTGGGTGGGGAGAGGGGAGATGGAGGGGAGAGAGGAGGCGGCATTGAAAACAAAGGGCAATAGAAACGGTGATGATAAAACACGGAAATCAAAGGAATATGGGGCCGTTTAACCACGTGGGCTTTAAGCACAAGGGCACTCACGAGCTCGATGGCTTTAAGCAGCACGTTGCCCCCGTGGGAGTGTGCGATGACGTGGATGCGCGCTGAGGGGTCGCCGTTCGCTATCACGTCCAGCAGCCGCGCCAGCTGTGGGGGACGAGGGAGCAGGGGGCAAGGGGGAGAGATGGGGAGGGGGGAGATGAGGTGGGGCGATGGGGTAAGAGGGGCCGCTGTGTGTTACCACATCCAGCCAGCACATCCACAGCTGGTGCGCCTGCTGAGACGGGGAGAAGGGGGGCGGGCGGGTAGACGGGAGAGATGAGGGGGAGAGGAGAGATGAAGGGGAGGGGGGAGATGAGGTGGGGAGATGAGGGAGAACGGGCAAGAGGGGTGGCCGTGCGTCTTAGGTCCGGCCGGCGCGCCAGCTGTGGCCGCGCGTGTTGCGGGCGAGGGGAGAGCGGGGAGAGGGGAGACGGGAGGAGGGGAGACGGGGAGAGGGGAGACGGGAGGAGGGGAGACGGGGAGAGGGGAGACGGGGGGAGGGGAGAGACGGGGGTGTCAAGCCTGGAGCTTAGAATCCATACATTAGTAATGAGCACGAAGCTCTTCAAGTACATCCAAGATAAGCAAGAAATGGATGGGGAGGGGAATCGGGGAACAACCTCTAGGGATTGGAGGTAATCCCGGGGCAATCTCCCAATTGGTGGCTTGGAGATTCCATTTGGGTTTGGTTGGGATGTGGGTGTACACCCAACCAAACACAAAGTGCAAACTACACTACGCTAGCAAATAGAAAGTACAAAATACAAAGTGTGAGATTGAGGGCTAACACTAACAGGGGGGAGGGGAGACGGGGAGAGGGGAGACGGGGGGAGGGGAGACGGGGAGAGGAGAGAACGGGGGGAGGGGAGACGGGGAGAGGAGAGACGGGGGGAGGGGAGATGGGGGGAGGGGAGACGGGGGGAGGGGAGACGGGGGGAGTGGGGAGACGGGGGGAAGGGAGACGGGGGGTGGGGAGACGGGGGAGGGGAGACGGAAGGAGGGGTTGGGGGGGGGAAGGGAGAGGAGTAGGAATGGTAGGGGGGTAGAGAGGGGGTAGAGGTGGGCAGAGCGGAAAAGAGGGGAGGGAAGGGGGGAGTAGGGGGGAGAAAAGGTGACGAGGGGGAAGAAGGGGGCTGATGGGGGAGAAGGTGGAAGAGTGGGCAGCCGGGGAGGAAAGGGAGATGGAGAGATGTGAAGCACGGAGTAATAGCAAGTGTGTTCAGTGGTGATTCGAGATGTTGAAGGCGAGGAGTGCGGGGGAGGGGGAGAATTCGAGAAGAACACGAATTTGCGCTGTACTGGGGAAATTTGGGAGGGGGAAGAGAATGCAGGGGCCACGTCATCTGGAAATAGTAAGTAAGCGCGCGAGTCACTATATTCTGCTATAGGTTATCGTAGTTGGTAACCAGCGTAACAACCTTGTGCGCCGCGTCGATGCGCCCTTCATGTGTGTTCGTGCCGTCCCAGTGAAACGGGTACGGTATGCGGAATCGCGCCGGCGGCTCCGCCGGCAGCTCGCGCCACACGCACCCGCCGCCTAGCGGCCCCTCCGCGAGGCGCGCGCCGATCTTGCTGCAGAAATTAATTTCGCCGGGCGCCGCGGGCTGGTACCACGTGCGCGACCCGTCGTCCGGTGGCGCGTCGAACGTGCCGTGCACGACGATGACGTAATGCGTCTCGCGCGACGCGTCGAACGACACCGTGCGACAGCTCGCCGGCGCCTCGGGGTCCACATCCTCGTTATTAGATCCTCCGGTGACGGGCTTGCGGAGTTTACAAAACGGACTGCTACATGATGCTAAATAACAACACCCGCAAGAGCTATCCAGGTCTGTCTCTTCGTCAATGGGCAAATCATTCTCCACTGTTGCAACGGCTAAAGGAGACGCCGCGAGCGGTTTATTCTCACGAATGGCAGCGCGGCTATTCTCCATTTACGAGCATTTCGAAGACAATGAGGTGGTGTGATGTGCATAGCTTGCTGGTACTTCTTGTCAGTGCCGTCCGTCAACCCCAAGCGCCACAGGTGCGGCAATGCCCTGCGCTAGGGATTCCACCAACTCGGTACTGTATGTGCCAACAATAGCAACTCACCGCGAGTGAGGTCTAGAGGTTCTCCACTTCAAGCAGTGTACAAGGTGTGTTAAAGCCCGCGTCCTAAATTGCGGGCCGCGCGCGTCAAGTTTTTAAAACTTGACTAAGCTGAGTGTGCAAGCTTTAACTTATGCGTGCGCAATGCAATGGAACGAATGGACGAAGATTGCACTATCGGGACAAAAGGACACATGCGTAACGAAAGCATGACGTACGAGCGTGTTACGTACCCCTCGTTTGTGCCTGATCGGGTTGCCTCGCAAGGTCGGGTTGTGTTAAATGTAAAACCAACTGAGTGGCGTAGTCAAGTCGGTAGGTAAGGGCGTGTAAAATCGGGGAGCATTTTGAAAAAATGAGGTTTGGCCGGGATTTTGTCGACCAAAATGGTCGACACTTCTTTCGCACATGTCGACCACATGGCCGACTCAGTGTCGGCCAATAACCGGCCATTTTTTGCAGGCCTGCAAATTTTACAACTTCCAGGGGCGAATTGCTGGCCGACTCCAGAAAGTTGTAAACTTTCAAATGGCCGAATTGTGCGACGGAGTCGCACATGTGCACCCGATATTGGAACGCCCTTGCACCCCAATCTCAACCAAGCCTGAACATTGCTACCGCGGCTCCGTTCACATACGGTTCGGCATAGCACAATTAGCCAAAAGCGGTTTAGGGTTTCTGATTGGCGTCGCATGCGGAAACGTGCGACACCTGATGCCAATGTCGCAACGACGGGGCGGTAACGTGGCTGGTTTCGAGTCGACTCGACGTTGGAAGGCGAGTCGACCAATTAGACGGCCATCAAATTCGCTGAATCTGGGCGAAATTTGCGACTGTCGCAAAGGTTGTCGTGAATTTCGTAACAGTGTTACTTTCGCCAATTCGGCCATTCGGCTTGTGGCCAAATATTTGTGTCTCCCGATTTTACACGCCCTAAAGGAAAGGTCAGTGACAGTGTCGAAAAGAGCCGAGTCAGACTGTTGGGCTCAGAAAAGTTCTTAGGTTCTTCCAAGGCTAAGATTCTGAGTAGAAATGTTGTACAGTGATATCCCGGTTAGAAGACCCGGGGGTCTTATCCCAAATGTGCTAAAATTGGGTTGTGGGGTCTTATTTGATGGCACATAGTGCAAAAGACCCCTGGACATCTATTAATTACAAGAAAATGGATTCTTTATTGCGGTGTTGAAGAAACTTGAGAAAAAATGTACCGATTTTTGGATTCCTCCACAACGCGGACTTCTGTTCTCAGATTCTCGCATCGCATTCTTGCTGATTCCCATCCATACGCTCTGACATGCCCAATCGTGACAGTTACGTCAACGTTTCTTGCCTAACGGACAGCAAAAACGCGAGATCGATGTGGCGTTTTGACTGACTTGACCACAGATTTGCTCGACAAAGTGAATCTGGTGGTTTTTTTTTGTGACTCGCTAACCGGTTCACCGTTTACACAACAGTCAACATAGCGTATTGCAAAAAGGGGGACGGTCTTATGTTGAATAGAGTCAAAACACGGGTCCTCTACATGAATGACATAATAAAAGACCCCTGGTCCGGATAAAGGACCTAGGGGCTTGTACGCGGGGAGGGGGGGGGGGTCTTCTTGCCGGGAGATTACGGTAATTGCGAAAGCGTTCTTAGTGAACTGTTCAACTACCTTGCACTAGTGTGTGAGAGCAAGATAGATTGATTATAGCAAAATATTACAAAGACTTTATAAGATTACAAGGAATATGAAAAGATGCAACCAACTGTTTTACTGTTGCTGTTGCGGTTCGATATAGCGACGTCTCGGGCAACTGCTCAATACCGAGTCAGTTGTTTGTCCTTGTTACGGTGCTGCCCTCTAGCGAGTCAACAGTCGCTGACCTTTGACCTTCGCTTAATCCAGCTCTTACTTTCTGTCAACCTCCTCGGTTGACTCGCCGTTGCTTCGCTGTAAATTGCCTCGTTTGCAGTTTGATGTTTCGACAAAACAGAATCGTTAATTAATTGTTTCCAACATGCAGTGTTCGAACTTCTGGTTCCCAGGCTTCTTGGTCAAATAATCCGCTGCCATCTTGGATGTGGGGCAGCAGGATAGCTTGAGCCTCCCCTTCTCGATCTCGTCCTTTACGAAGAAATATCGCAGGGCGATATGCTTCGTTCGGTTCGCGAACCCGTTCTTGTTCGCTATGCGAATTGCTGTTTGGTTGTCGCAGAACCGAAAGAAGCTGGGTCAGTAGGCCAGCTTCGCTTCTTCCAGCAATTCGTGAAGGTACAATCCTTCCTTGGTGGCTGAGCAGAGTGCGATATATTCTGCTTCGGCTGAGGAGAGAGCGATTAATTCTTCTTTGCTCGACTGCCACGAGATAGGCCCGATAGGCTCGAGTCGGTAGGTGTAGCCGTTGCGCGATCGCCTGTTGTCGGAGTCGTCGGCGTGGCCACCATCCACGTAGCCGATTACCTTGGGCGTCGTGGTTCCGGTTTTGTGATAGGTTAGGCCGATTGTCGGGGTGCTGACGAGGTAGTGAAGTGCGCGGTCGAGTTCTGCCAGGTGCTCTGCTTCAGGCTTCTTGAGGTAGGTGGCGAGTTGACTCGCTGAGTACGATAGATCCGGTCGACAGGTAACGGCTGCGAAGAGTAGGCATCCCAACGTTCTCTGGTAGTCGCGTATGTCGGCAGGTTTGAGTGGAGCGGATGTAAATCACGTTCTCCCCTTCTTGTATATTGAGCCACAGGTACTGTGTTACTGTGGAAGAGACGGTGAGTGTGAGATCTCGCTGCAGCTCTTCTTCGAACCAGGTTGTGATGCCCTCGGTAGAGCCTATGTAGAGCAGGTCGTCTACGTACACGATAAGGAGGATGTAGTCCGCGCCCTTCGTGAGTCGGTACATTCCTTGGTCGTGTGGCAGTTGGCGAAATCCGATGCAAATTAGCCGGGCGTGTAGGTACTGCTGTCACAGCCTCGGGGCTTGCTTGATGCCGTATAAGGACTTCAGCAGATGACAAACTTGGTTGGGGTCTGTGTTAGACCCGTGTGGTTGCTGAACGAAGATCTCGGCATCGACGGGAGCGTAGAGAAAGGCGCTAGCGACGTCGATTTGGCGAAGCTTCTTCCGCTTGATGGCGGCTATCGTGAGGAGAATTTGAAGAGAGGTATGCCGGCTAACCGGTGCGAAGGTTTCGGTGAAGTCTCGTCCATGCTCTTGATTGAAGCCGCGTACGACCCAGCGCACCTTAAACTTATCGATCGTTCCGTCAGCTTTTGTCTTCACGGGGAAGACCCATTTCCCGGTGAGAACAGTTTTATTGCGTGCCACTCCGATATGTACTGCGTTCTTCCAGTGCCTTTAAATCTCTGTCCATGGCTTCGTGCCATTTTCCCTTGTGCTCCCCACCCCAGAGCCTGCTGAACTGTAGTAACCTCCTTTGGTGGTGATGCTCCGTGGACGACGGTGACGAGTCCAAGTATCTGCAGTCCACTCTATAAGAGTCGGGGGAGATTTGGATCCTCGGGATAGACTACTTCGTCTCCCGCTTCTGGGGCAGGTAAGAAATTGGGTCCTACGCATTCTGAAACGACGGTGCTGACTTGTTCGGGTGTATCATAACCGTCGTCGGCGAGATGATAGTAGACTTCGGCGTTGATGCTTTCGCGAGGATTATTGTTGTCCATCGGTACGTCAACCCAGCAGTAAGGGAAAGGTTTGGCTGCTTCCGAGGCTCCATCCACGTCTTGCTCGTCCTGGTCAGCCTCATCTGCTGCCGAAGCGAAGGCTCGGTCACCAAGAAAGCCGCCCGTGGGGTCTCGTTCTTCTTCCAAGTTGGCCAGGTATGTTGGAAGGTTGAGTCATTCGTATAAAATCATGTCACGTGCTGATACTGTTTCCTTCGAGTGGACGTCAAGGATCTTCTACGCGTTGTAGTGTTTTTCGATGCCCAGGTGTAGTCCCCATTGTGCGCGTTGGGAGAATCGACCGTCTTGTGCAGTTGGGGGTCAGTACTGTACCATGCAGCCAAACACTCGTAACATTTTTGTTCTGCCCAATTTTCCTGTCCACAGCAGGTGCGGTGATGCATTGTTCGGGAGCGATGATGACGGCCGAAACTATCTCAACGGAATCAGGTCGTCGCCAGGACAACCTCGCTGCCCGCGGGCAAAAAAAATAAACCCCAGACGGGCATGCATCCGGTCAGGGAGGCATCAACCCTAAAAATGGGGAGGCATGGATTTTAGGGTTGAGGCTCCCTCGGATGGCATGCCATCCGAGTGGGTTTTAGTTTTTTTTCAGCCCGGGGCAGTAGGTCGTCAGGTCGTCACAGGGTCGTCAGGCTCGACGACCCAATTCCGCTGAGAGATACGAAAGCAAGTAGTGCAGCATCACAGCATGGTCCATTGCTTCGGGCCACTGGTGGTTGGGCAGCCGCATGCCACGCAGCAGCTTGCGCATGGTGTTCTGGAGGGTCCTGTTCATCCTTTCTGCCACGCCTTGTTGTTCATAGGTGTAGGGAAGGGAGATGAGTCTCTTCATAGGCATCTGCCAGGTACTGTTTGAACCTCTGTGTCTGATATTCCCCTCCCTCGTTTGACAGTAAGCTTTTCAGCTTTACTCAAGATTCCCGTTCTGCTACTGAAATCCAGGCGACGAAAGCTTCGAAGGCCGTGTCGAGGCTTGGAAGGTTGAGATGCCAGATGTATCGGGTGGCGGCATCGATGAACGTGATGACGTAGTTGTACGCTCCCTGTCCGTTTTCGCGATTATAAAGTGTGTCGATGTACAGTTTCTCCAGTGTTGCGTATGCAGGTGCGCTCGGGCTGTGGTGAGAGACGAACGGTTGACGTGGTAAGTCGGCTTCAGGGCAGGTAAAACATGTTTCGCGGACTCGTTGAAGTTCTCTGCTGTCGTGTAGAAGCACTGAGTCCTTGTCAAGTACTCCAGCTCTTAATGTGTTGTTTAACGTTGTGTTGCTCGGGTGTCCCATCCTTGCATGCCAGATATCTTCACTGGCGAGATGTTCGGGTGATCGCCTATACAGATCGGAGTTGGAGTAAAAAACATGCGGTGAAGTTGGCGCTTCTTTGGACTTTGCGCAAAGTAGGAGTCAGCTGTTGCGCAGGAGACGGTGGTGTGTCACCGATGAGGACTGGTGCTGTTGAAGAGCCTGCAATTGGTGGTGGTGTTGGTGTTGTCTCTGCTACTGCCAATGTTGTCT